CGCAGGGCCGCCCCCCCCGCTTCCCGCCCTTCGCCCGCCCGCCTCCAACACCGCATCCCGTCAAACCTGGACATTTCCAAGGCTCTTCTCCTTCAGGACCGCGGCCAAAGGTATTTATTTCCCTTCCAGGTGTCATCTCAAAGGAAGAAACGCAACAGGAAGGTGAGGTGATTTGAGGTTGTCTCCGGCGGGTGTTAAAACTCTCCTGTGTGAAACCGAAGCGGGCGTTGAGGTTCTGTCACCTGGGATGGGTGAAAAAAATCAGGCAGTTTACCACAAAACTACCTCAAAAAGAAGGCAGTCGCACCTGCTGTATCATCACCACCGCATGCCACAAGTGTGATTTTTTTAAATTTATTTTGTTCCCATTTTGTGCGATGAAAACAAATAGGGTATATGGTGAAATCCCGTGTCTTGGCATACGTTCACTACGGTTTGTATGCTGTATGCAAACAAAAATCCCTTAATAAAACCCAAAACCCACCGTTGTAATTTCAGCCCTAAAAGATCACAGAATCGTTTAGGTTGGAAAAGACCTTTCAGATCATCAAGTCCAACCGTTAACCCAGCACTGCCAAGCCCACCACTAAACCGTGTCCCTCAGCACATCTATCCGTCCTTTATATACCTCCGGGGATGGGGACTCAGCCCCTGTCCTCGCCAGCCTCTTCCAATGCTTGACAACCCTTTTGGTGAATAAATTTTTCCTAATATCCAACCTAAACCTGCCCTGGCACAACTTGAGGCCATTTCTTCTTCTATCGCTCGGGGCACCAGACTCCTTCATCCCTAACTTCTCTAAGTCGTTGGATACTTCATTATCAAAAATATTAAACAACTAGTTGTGTGTGTGACCCATCTAAAACTCAATATCTAAACGATAGGGGCTATCGCTATTCATCTTACTGAGGTTTAACGACAAGAACTGCGATGGATGATTCCGGCAGATACCATGATGCCTGAAAATTTCTGGCAAACAAAATCGAAAAACAAAATCAGAACTGACACTGTGTTGACACTCTCGAGATGAAAATTTCTGAGAGCTGCAGCAAGACAAACAAGGTGTGGGCGGCACAAAGCGCAGCCACGTGTTATTTGGTATAAAAAGCTAAACAATACATAAAAGAAATGCCATTGCCCCACATTCAAAGGATCCAGAATCCACATTGACAGAAATCGTATCAGTTGCACTGGGCTCAGAACACTAAAAATGTCAAACTTGTATTGTAGATACTTAGAAAATGAAACTATCCAGTTATTTATTGGTTTAGATACAGGGCTGTGTTCACCCGAAGACTACCAATTTAATTCTCAGAAAAAGAAAGCTCTTCTAGCTATTGACTTTAAAACTCTTCTGCCCCTTTTTCATTAACCTGATGCATGTCCTTCCTGTGGTCATGGAAGATCAGAAGAGCTGACAGTAGCCTGCATTTCAAAGAAGGAAAACATGCCAGGGTTCCAAAAGCCAGTATAAAAAAGCATCACCAGTAATTACACCTCTGAGGAGAGGAATCCTCAGTTCAAGGTGCGTGTTGGCTATAGGCCATCACATTATAAGAGAAAAAAAGGGTTTCTCTCAAATTATCAAGGCAGAAGTCGGTCAATGCCATTCAGATACCAACAGGCTGTCAAACACACCTGCAGCGTGGGTATTGTGCAGCTGAGCAAGATCTCTCACTCGTTCTTCACCAGCTTCCATCTCTCTGGCTTTAAATTACAGCACCACACCGACACGCATCGCCCTAAGTTAGCAGTGACGTTACAGATATAAAAATAAAGATCACTCAAAAAACAAACCCCAAAGCAATCTATAGCCAAAAGAAGTCGTCGTCATCTTTAAGTTAGTTGCTGATGGTAAAAACCAGGATTACGCAGCGGCGAGGCGGCTGGAATCACTGATTAACCGAGACCCCATTGACACTGGACACTGTCCGTAGGCCAGAAAGGCTGGTTCCCCATATGGTTTGCCATGATTAAAGGTAAGATAAAATTGAAGAACCATCTGCACTGACAAAGTGAGTTTTGAATTCTGCTGTGCATGTGTGGTGGTGGTTTGTGCCTTTCATTTAACGAAGCCAAAAGCGGTATCTCAGCAGTGGAAGAGTTAATTGGTTGCCAAGTTAGCCGTCTATTAGCAGTGCTGAAGAGATGCTGGCACCCAGAGAAGGTACTTGCTCCAATAATGATGAGCAGTAGAAGGTGGGAGGAATATAATAAGTTAACGCCAAGTGAGCTCCCGTTTTTTTTCCTGGAAATGGGAGGTCAGCCTTGAAAGGTGCATTACAGTGACTGCATGTAGGAAGTGAGGGTGAAGGAGAAATAACAACCACCAGAAATGAATTACAGAAGGTGACGTGTATCGACAGGACTGAAGAGAAATACGATAAAGGTTTCAGAAAGTATTATTGGAATATATGATGCCTCATGATGCTATTTTCCAGGGAATTGGCATTTTGGCAAGGTATATACCGCTCCTCTGCCAAAGAGAAATGTTGCAGTAGTCAAACCCGACAGTGTTCATAAATTTCTTCAGAGCAATTGGAGACCTTTTCTGCTGCAGTACCCTAGACTGTGCAATACAGGCCACCAAACCGAGGAGAGAAACGTCGAGGAATTAATTGGTAAAAACAGAAAAGGGAGAGCGGCTCAGCCCTTGCATGATGGCCGTGGGGTGTGACATTTGCCTAGCGACCTGCAGCTTTGCAGTCCTTTCAACAGACACAGCCAGTCTCCCACTACTTCCCTCCTCTTGCTTTCACCTCTTTTTTTTTTTTTCCCCCCAAAAACTCTCTTTAACACAGCACCTTTGTTTCAGGAATATCCACACAGAATGTCTTTGTTTCTGTAGTTTCAGTTTCTGAGTGCTTTCTCCTGCATGCGTCCTGCCACGCCGCTCGTGTCCGGAGCAAGACAAGTCAACGTCAGCAAAAGACTCGCTGTCGGGCCTTGCTACATCACTCGCTGTGGAAAGAGCAAGAGTACGTCGGATTAAGTCTCAATCGGTAAACGCACACGCACGCTTCAACTTTGCTAGAACTTTCCCTGTTGAAGGAAAGCGGTTACCTTCATGCCTGGTGTTAAGTTGCACATAAGATGTGCAGAAACTGCCCCGTTTTTAAAATAAAAATGCACAGCTAGGGCACCGATCAGACATCCGTTTTAAAGCAAATTATTCCGCCTTTATCGTTGCCACGTTCCTAGCCACGTAAGCTGCCTTGCAACAGCACACAGCTGCTCAGACACAGAATACTCATTAAATGAATTCATAGTGGTTTTTTTGTCTTGGCATTCTTCTCACCACACGTTTTCATGCCAAGGTAAGATTGCTTAGTCATTTCTTCTTTATGTCTCTTAATGGCTTTAAGAAAAGAACCTCAAGGGAGAATGATTTATAAGGCCTTTTTACTCGTTACAGCCAAGATTTCCGGCACGTCTTGGGCACTCTCTTAGGCTGGCTTTGTTAGGACGGACTCCGGCATCTCCTGTGCCATCAGCTCACAAATTTGTTTTCTGGCTATTCCTGTCTTCCCAATACCTTGGCCCAGGGCTGAGCAGCAATCCCAGACGGAGGGGATGGGGATGCGGAGGTCTTTGAGGCGGAAGAGGAGATTTTAGGAGCAGTGGGCCTGGAGGAACAGGAGACCGTTGTAATTATTGTGGGCAACCAGGTCATTGCAAAGGGGAATGGCCAGTACGAGCAATGGGCTTCCCGAAAGGACCTCTCGGTCCTGTGGTGCAACCCTCCCCTTTTCAGCAGTCACCACTGAATACAGAATGTTTTCCCCTTCTTCTGATGAGAATCCAGTCTTAAACTTTGTAATTCATGAACGTAATTACCCCTGTCTAATAGATACAGGGACAACTTTTTTTACCTTAAATCAGTAGTCCTATTCATCCGGGCTCTCAGTATCTTTTTTTGCATTTAGTTGGGGAAAGATACAGCTAACATAGACAAGGCTCCCTCAGGGCTTTGCTGGGTCCTCCACTAGTTTTTTTTTAAATTTTAGTAAAGGATTTGCAGCATGTTGTGTTTAAAAAACCCAGATCTGTTTCAATACAATATGATGATGATTTATTAATAGCCAAGGAATCTTGTATAGCTGACACCTTACAGTTTGCCTTAGCTGAGAAGAGCCATCGAACTTGTCCGCATAAATTACCATGTTTTTTATAAGAGAAGCGTAAAACATTTGGGTTATATTCTCCAGCAAGAGGAGTGGCGTTACTGCCCGGTGGTGTTTGACATCAAGCCCCCTCAGGGAGCTGGCACAAACACACCGGAGGCGGGTCCGTTAGCAAATAATAAAGGAATATTGCGGTTACGGCAGCCTGCCTTCCCTCACAGCCGCCGGCCTTCCCTCACAGCTTCCCGCCCAGGCGTGCCGTGCGGCTGTTGCGACAGGTGGGTCGCTGCGCGGCGGCTGCGCGGCCCCGCCGCCGCCGTCCCTCAGCGGGGCGTGAAGCGCCGGTCCCGTCAACCCGTCCCGGTGTCGCGGCCTAACCGAGCCTCTCCCGTCCCCGGCCTCCCGCAGGGGGAAAGCTGCGGCCATGGAGAAGTACCAGGTGTTGGGCCTCGTGGGGGAAGGCAGCTACGGGGTGGTGACCAAGTGCCGAAACAAGGAGAGCGGGCAAATCGTCGCCGTCAAGAAGTTCCTGGAAAGCGAGGACGACGCGGTGGTGCGGAAGATCGCCGTGAGGGAAATCAAGCTGCTGAAGGTGAGCGGGGGGCTGCGAGGGCAGCTGAGGGGAGCGGGCCTGCCTTTTCCAGCAAAGTCGGACCAAACCGATGGCTTTTGGATGGTTTTGCGTTTAAAGCTCCTCGTTCAGCTGAGAGACGTGTACGGCGCAGTACCGAGGTGGTTAATAAAAAGCGTGACCTTTTTTATTTCGAAGCCCCTGTAGTTATTTCCCTAGCAACCTGCCCTGCTGCAGGCAAAGGGAACGGTGCAGCTCAGCTCGGGAGGGCGAGCAGCGGTGGGCCTCTGCACCGCGTGTTTTGAGTCCTGCTCGGGGGTTTAAATACCTTCCTGAAAGCCTCCTTCAAGCAGAATAGTAACCTTCAAGTCTATGGTCTGCGTTTTCCTTGCAGTAAAGGTGTTGGTTGTTTAGAACTGACGGGTGTGGGTGAGATTTATCCGTAGGGAGTTGAGGGGTTCTCGGGAGCAAACTGCCTCTTGAGGCTCCTTAAGGATTAGTCCTTTAAGAAGCGGTGTTTATCCAGTGCAGTTATATAGCCTAAGTGTAAATTTCAGCCATTGGGTCGGTTTTGAAAGGGAAACACAGTTGCTTCTGACCACAATATCCAAAGTATAACTAACAAAATCGAAACCAAAAGAGACTTGATTGGGCCCTGTGTGTATTTCCAGGAGCAGCCAAGCCATGGCAGATTCATGTAGCCTTTGAGTTGTAGCCTTGCAGAGTCCCTTTTCCCTTTGGGTGCTGTGCTGGATGCGCCTGGCTAAACCTGACTTGATCAGAAGTCTGTTTATGTGCCTTGTATTCAGCAGGGAAAGGTACGAGGAAGGGAGTCACAAGGTCTCTATTGCCTCCTGGTGGCAGTTGTGTCCCGCTGGGTTGTGTGCCAAATTCGAGTGCCTTGCTGCTGTGAATTTGCTGAAAATGAAAGAAAGGCTGAACCTTTAAAACCTGCGGGTGAATGGTGACCTGAATGTGTGACAGTGTGCCTAACCAGGCTGGGTACCGGTGTTACCCGATACGGAAAAACACTTCTAGGAAAGTTTTTACTTTATTTTATTTTATTAATGGCACTTTCCTGGCAGGCTTGTACTGCCAGCAAGAGGCTGGAGGAGGACGGGTATCAAATTCCCCGAGCCTTATCAGTCAATGGCTAGCCCCGAGGCTGAAGCCAGCTGGCATAATGTCCTGTGCTGTTTGAGTGATTTGCCTGGTATCAATTGTCGATGCTTTATACTCACCTAAGTGTCCAGCGGTACTTCAGCCTGTTGGCTTCTTATCAGCAGCGTTATGTGGGGTAACCTCATTGCGTGGGTTGGTTTATTGAAGGTACTTCTCTTCATGGGCTGTAGATACTCTGTCTGGGAAAATACCCAGGAGCTTCAGATAAACGGGCTTTTGTGTGTGTGCTCTGCAGTGTTCTGTCATACGGTCTTTCTGCTTCCTCTCTTGGCTTTGTTCTTCCTACAGAAGCTTTTGCAAGTTCCTAAAGTGTTTCACTGCCAGTTTTTTCTGCTATGTTCCTTGGTGAATAGGATGCCAAGGATGCAGGGTGGCATTCCGTGCCAGGACATACGTCTCTTGCTCTGCTTGCTCTTTTGACCGCCTTCAGCCCCTGTGTTTGCCACCATAACCTCTAGCAATAGTTGCAGCATTTTCCTTCTTCTCTTGTCCCACAGGTGGTATGCACGAAAGAGTGCTTGTCCCTGTGCGTGGGCACACATGGTAGTTTGAAGCGTTGGGGCACGGGTGATGTGTCTGGTGAAGAAATGAAGGAAAATCTTATTACAGTTGGAGTGCATCAAGGCTTTTCCTCTGATGCAGGGTGTTCTGGAGATGGGAACACGTGCAAGCCTGTCTCCTCTCCTCTCCTCTCGGCTGCCACAAGTGTCTCTTCACAAGTCTGCCAGACTACAGTCCCTGCGCTGTGAAGGGAAAAAAAAGTCATCTCTGCCGTCACTGCAAGAGCTACAGGCCCTTACAGTTAATAGAAATGTACGTGTTGGAGCTTGCGATGCGGCCAGCAGCTCCAAGCGTTGTGCCCTCAAACTCTTTTAAAGCAGATCTGCGTGAGTCTGGATCATACCTGATCTGTCGTCCAGGCTGGCTTAGTTACTGAGTGGAAGCACGTACCACCTCCCAGGTGCATTGGGAATTAGCTTGTTTCCCTGGGTAAATGGGAACTTAGCAAGGGGAACATTTCCGTATATAGCTCAGTAAGCCTGGCCTTCCACAGTGAAAATAAATACCTAGAGATGTAATCTTTTTCTAGTTTCTTCACTTGCATGCTCCCTATGAACCTTTTTTTTTTTTTTTTAAATTTCTTTTTTCCTTTTCTCCTGCTCTGCAGCTTGGGCAGAAATTTAATCATGGCTGAAAACAGCAAAACCTCTTCAAGTCTCCTGTGCTGGGAAGAAATTATTCTTGAGAAAAGAGCTTTTTTCCTAATTGACCGTCTTTTTTAAAATATTCACTTTTCAGACCTTCTGAGAACTCTGGGTCTTTGGCAGACCCAGGTGCAGGTTGGCCGGCACTCCCTGTGGACTGACAGCATTTCCCCTGCAAGTCCCTGCGCTCCGCGGTCCCTTTGTGTCTGCCATGGTCACGATCCCTGGGCTACGGTGCTGCCTTCAGGCAGCCTCCGATGATGTTTCCCTGCTAGGCTCCGAGCTAATAAATAACTGCGCGTTGTAGCATGGTCTGTTTTGTTAAAGCGGTATGTGATAAACCAGTGTTACAAATGTGTAACGAATTGGAGGTGGATTCTTGACTGGTCAGAATGTGATGACAAAATAACTCGAAAATACAGCTGCTGTTTTTTTTCTTTTCATCTAAGTTGCGGTTTTTGCCTCTAAACTATTTTCAGCTTTCCCCTCTGCATAATATTGGGGGGAAAAAAAAACCAAAAAACAACCAAAAAACATCTCTTCAAATCCTTGGCTGGTCAATTTTCACTCTGAATCCACTAGACACAGTTTAATAGAAGTGGTTTAATTGTTAACTCTATTATAGGTAAGAAAGCTGAACTTTCCTTTTATCCATTCAATGTGCTTGTATTCTGGCACATGTTAGTTATTGCAAACGTGTATAAGCTGGCAGTGCCAACAGAAATGCTTTGGGTATGGCAGAAGCTTAAAAGAAAAGTCTTCTATCAGCCTTATTAGAAAAAACTAAGATGAGAAAAAATTATTAGAAAAAATGAAGACGCTGAGTAGTTGGTGATGAACTGGCAGCTAGGTAGAACAGAGAGGTATTGCAGCTGCTTTTGGTTTTCTTTTAAATGGGGATGTAAGAGATTTTTTTAAAAGAGGACCTAGAGAAAGAAAGGACAGAGAAGAAGAATAAAACTTCTGGAAACATGGGAGAAAAGAGATAAATCGGCTTTGGGTTGTTGGGAGAGGCAAAAAGTTTTCTTAAAACAAAACATTGAGAGGTGTCTTCAGCAATCCCTTGAATCGTGTCTGGAAGGGGTAGCTAGCGTCGCTCCTCGTGCCCTGCCCTGAGGGAGCAGGCAGGGTAGCCCAGTGTTACGTGGCCACCTTGATAAGAATATCTCCTAACGGAGTTTGAGTCACGGATCCAGCCCGATGTTACCGGCAGGAGCTGTGTTTATTGCTGCTTCAGCTGTTTATAAGCAGAACCAGGGAACTAGCGAGGAGTCTCTGCGGCTCACCGGTCACGGTTAAATGCCCTGTTCTTCTCGCAGTGGTCAGAGACATATTTGGCAGCGTGCTGAACTTTCCAGTACAAACTGTCCTGCTTTGTCTTTCCTGCTAGCTTGGGGACCTCTGGATTTTCTTTTGCCATGACAAGTCTTTGTGGGAGATGCTGTTAGGTGCCTGCTGTCTCTCACGTGTTAACCACATGCTCCTCTGGAGTGTTTTGACTTCCTCAAGATTTCTCTCGTGTGGAAGATAAGTTTGCTCTAAAGCTTGTCAAGGTGAGGGCATGAGTTAGTGTCACCTCTTACGTGAGGAGAGTATTCTGAGAAGCAAAAGGCGTGAGATTTCCCAACAAAAGGACGGTGCATTTAGAGCATCTCCATTAAGAAGAAATGTCCGTGAGCAGCGTTGTATTTGTTTTTAGGTTACAAGAACAGGTGTCTGCATATATGAGGTGGTGGAAATCCTCCAGGTAATGTTAAAAACGTAAAACAGAATTGGCAAAATAAAACCTACTCTGAAACGTCAGCAGCCTGATTTTAAGAATAAATGAATGTGAGTGCCATGACAAGAAGAGCATTCCAGGGCAGTGTGCTGGCGGGGTTGCAGTTAAAAGTATCTGGTTGTAGTTTACCCATTATATGCTGTCAAGCTCTCATAAAATATTTCCTGTTTTATAACAGCAACTCAGGCATGAGAATCTCGTGAACCTGCTGGAAGTGTGTAAAAAGAAGAAACGGTGGTATCTGGTCTTTGAATTTGTGGATCACACGGTGCTCGATGACCTCGAGGCGTTTCCAAACGGACTAGACTACAGCAGGGTTCGGAAATACTTATTTCAGATTATGAGAGGAATAGCGTTTTGTCACAGTCATAATGTAAGTATGCACAAGAAGTCAGCTCTGCAGTTAACCTTGAACGCATAGATACACTAGTGTATGGTTTTGATATATGTTAGAACTTAGAGAAAGAAAGCTTTGGCTGAAGAGGAAGAGGCAGGGCAGTAGGGGCTGACAGAATTTCATATAAAATGTCAGCGCGTGATGTCGGCTAATCCAGTAGCCCGTCTGATTGGTTTGGGAGAGTGTTTCAAAGGAAGGGTCCCGAAGTCCATGGGGATTCAAAACTTGGTGGCACCTTATTGAAGGTTGGCTTATCTTGCAGAGGGAGATAGTCTCCCTTTCAAAGTTTGA